ATGAATGTAGTTATTTTATTAGTCATAAAAATGTGAGTTACAGCCTATGATTGGGTATCTAGGTTGTACCAAAACTTGGCTAAATCCATAATTTAGTGCATTCATGTACTTGTAAAATCTATGTTATTTCAGTGATGTATCAAGAATAAATATATTTCATACATAATAACATAGAACTGAATGTAAATTTATTAAGACAAAAGTTATCTGCTATCATTAGGCTTCTTTTTCAAATACAATCAATATACTTTCCAACCTAGAATCAGAATGTAGTATCTGTGCCTTATCCTCAGCTCTTCTGAGCTTGAATCAGTTACATTTTCTGACCAAGAAACTTAGATTGTATTAAAAGGGAAGGAATTGGGAAAAACCTGGAGGAAGATGAAAAAGTAAGGAAGAGGAGAAGAGGGGCAGAAATGAGTGGGAGAATGAGGGGGAAAGTAAGGAAGGGGAGAAGGAAGGGGAAAAGCAAGGAAGAGAAGAAGGGAGGGAGTAAAAAGGAAGAGGAGAAGGAGGGTGTGAGCAAAGAAGAGGTGTATGAGGGGGAAAGTAAAAGAGAGGAGTAGGGAAAAGCAAGAGAGAGATGGAGTATGGAAAAGCAAGAGAGAGAAGAAGGAGGGAAAAGCAAAAGAGAGGAGAAGGAGGAGGAAAGCAAGGAAGGTAAGGGGAAATGAAAGACAAGGCAAAGAAGGGGAAAATAAAAGAAAAGGCAAAGGAGAGGGAAATGAAAGAAGAAACAAAGGAGAGGAGAAGCAAGGAAGAGAAAAACAAGGTAAAAAAGAAAAAGAGGTAAATGAGGGTGTGAAGGAGGAAAGGTAGAAAATAGCAGTGCTAGATAAAAATGAAAAGAAAACCAGTGAAAAGAAAAATATATGTTTAAAAATTCAGCTATAAATGAAATGTATCTGTAAAGACAATATTAATAAAAGTTCCTTTTGTCATATCAAGAAAGATAAAAGAGAGGGTGCTGTAGAAAATTTAGGCCTTCCCTAGTCCTTTTCTTTTGCATATGAAACTATGCATAAGGTTTAGGTAAAATCATAGATGAACAATGAAGATTGGAAAGGATAAGGGAAATAATGAGAAAATACAGGCAGAGGATGATTGAAGAGCTGAAGCATGAAAAATAATTTTACTCCATCTTTGAAATTTCCATGTGCCCAGTGCATACACTATTAATGTAAATCACTAAGCAATTTTAACTGGTATTTTCAATCCTTACAACCATTAGACTAGTTGAAGTAATTTTGGATATATTGCAGTCTGGGGAGTATCAGTAACTGAACATGTGTCTCTTAATATTTTTAAATCAGAATGCTTGCAAACCCTTTTCATAAATCAATCTTATAATTTGTGCATAAACATTACTTTTAAGCAATGTCCTTTATAAATAAGACTTAAAGATACCAATAAACATTTGTATCTAAATGTAATGAGTGAACAAGAAATTACAATTAATGTCCAAAATGCTGTACTTTGTTTTCAATAAGAATGGCTGGGTTTGGGAAAGTGAGAGAAGGAATTGTGAAGAAAAGTATCTTGAATTTATACAAATTTATCTCTCATTCAAGTGATCTTTTAAATTCATAAAGAAGAGGGAAAGAGTCAAAACATCTTTGTTCACAAATAAATGAGATAACAAAAAGATTTTTCAAGCTGTATTTGCAAAAAGGGAATGTGAAAATGTACAAATCCCAGGAACTTGCTTGAAAACTAGAGAAATTGTGGAACATGAGAGTAAAAGGTTAGTGCTCATAATTGGTGCATTGTGAACTGTTCAAAATATTCGATATAGGAGATTCAAGAAAATAATTACTGAAGGAAGCATTATGACTCTAGACCAATGCAGTTTTGAGTTCTAAAAAGAGTACTCAGGAAGATGATAAAAATTTTAGAAGACTTGCTATCACATGATTTAAAGTAATAATTACTATACAACTCTGGTGATAGCATTTAAATGTATCTAATAATTACTCATATTTTGGTATTTGTTACTTAAATATGGAGAGGTTTATAGTCACAAAACAGTTTGAAGAATTTTTGTAGATACAGAAATGCTTCTAAAATCTGCAATACTAACAAGCTATAATATTTCTCATCAAATTAATATTCTTACACTTTCTGATGTTTAGTAAATGAGAATGGTCTGCAAAGTATTAAATGTTTGAAAGAAAAAATAATTCTGAAATTTGTGCAAAAGAAAAATGGAAAAAATTAATTTCTTCATGCAGCATTATGCTTGTAAAATCTTCACAAATTCAAGGAATAAAAAGCAATATTTAAATAAAAATAATTTCAAACACATTTTAATTAAATTTACAGAAAAATTAATTTAAAAGTTGAAAGAAAAGAAATTTTGTTTTTATAAAGAATTAAATAAAAAAAAAAACTGCCATGAAAAGAGAATTAAAAAAAAAATCTCCAAACATGCTTCTGGTATTCCCTTTTTTGATTGGTGACCAAACATCAGGGACAAATTCTTATTCCCCACCCAGCTTCAAGCTCTGTGAATAAAACCTGCCTATAAAATTAATATACACAACTAAGATTCATGGCCACTAAATTCTAGGCTCAAACAATGATAAAAAATTTTCTACAATAATAAACAGTAACCATAAAAAAGAAATCCCCTTTCCAACAACCATAATAAAAAATAAAATTATTTGGAAAAAGAAATTAAATAAAATTAAATGCAGAACATTTTAATTGTTTTTTTGATGGATATGAAAATATTTTTTAAAATTATTTATTTTTATCCATCAATCATCTGAGAGCAGGTTCCCAAACCTTTTCTTAAGGGTGGTAGTGGTGGTGTGAAAGAGTGTGGAGAGGAGATAGGTGTGTTGATATTAAAATCTGTTTTGATTGATAAATAAATAAATAAAAATGCATACATATGCATGAGAAAATTAAAATGAAAATCATTTCATCCAATTGAAAATATCAAATTTAGGATTTTACAAGAGAAATCACATTTATTACTGTAATTGATGGCCTTCTTAAGCCTCTTTACCAATGCCGTCATATAATCTACACAATTACTATTCTAATTACCATCTCAGTGGATTGATAATGAATCATTATTGTTACTATTACAACCAATGTTAATATAAAAAGAGACAAACTATTATTTGTCTCACACTTTCTTATTATGGTAACTAACACAAAATGCTCTGATACACCTTTTCAAATTTATAAACAGCACCTAATTCATACATTATAGTACTGCAGTAATAACCAGATCATATTATTTACAATTATGAATAGATACTAATATATTTACAAACTGATAATCTTGATGAAAATATATTATTGTTATCATCTTTCACTTTGCGTCCAGTACAATCTCTTACCATATCATTAAGCAAGAACTGTTATTATTATTATTATTGTAACTATTATAATGATATTAATAAGGATATGATAATGATGATGATGATGATAATGATCATGATCGTCATCATCATCAGGTGCTTCACCAAAGATAATATTCATTGTAAAAAGTTTCTTCTTCTGACCCTACTCTCCAGCCACCATTAGATTCTATTACTTTAACTCTTATATTTTAACAAATGTTGTCTCTGGAAGAAGCAATTTATTATATAAACATCTTCCTTTTCAATTTAAACCTTAAAATTTAAGATTTAAGATTTAAAACGTTTTTTAGTACCAAAGACTGGCCATAAAAAATTTAACCAGAAAAATAAAAGGAAATAATTGATTATTTTATTTATTAACTATTTTTTTTGGTCTAAACCTAACCAACATGTATTTATTTATTTTTTTTAATAAATTTTTGCTAATTGTGTTGTCAAACAATTTATGAACAGAACATCAACCAGATAAGAATAAAGTGAAACAGACAGTAACTAAAGATATTGAGAAATAAGTGTATTTTTAGCAAACTTGAAAATGTATTGTCAGATAAAGTGAGGTGGTAGTTGGTAATCTTATAGAACTTAGACCTCCAATTACTGACAAGGGTGCAAATTGCTCTAAACTGGGGTTCTGTCTCAGATAAAATGAATCAATTTCAATGAAGAAGAAAAACAATACTATATCACCAACAAGCATGTTATTTTCCTTATATATAGATGTGTGTGTGTGTATGAGCGTATATAAATACCTACAAGTGTGTGAGTATTATTTGAGTATTTCACTGATTGTTAGCAATCCTTCCCCCAAGTGAATAGTTCATTGATTTTTCCATAAAATGAAAACAAAAAAAAGTTTTAATAAATCCCCTATATAATTCACCTCTTTCAAAAAGCTATTTATAAAACAAAGAAGCCATTTTTAGCATTTCTTAGTCCTACTGTCTCTCTGTCTCCATTTCTTAAAATGAAGACTTAAAATGAAACATACCCACAATCACTGATTAAACAGTTAATATTTCAAGGTTATGACCGTAACTGAAAAAAAAGACAACTTTCTGTTTGTTTTGTGTCTATCTCAATCAAATTTTTATAAATGAAATTTGTTTTATCTTTGCAATGGTATGTTTATTTTTGATCCTGAAGTTTTAGTCAACCTATTTCAGTCAGTGTATATGCAATGCCAGCAGATGATTTTCAACCTTTTTTTCTTACCCTAATCCAAAATTAAAATAAAAAATTAAAAGAAAGAAGAGCTTGAAATGCATTGCATGGTACAAGCAACTGAAATATGAAAGGTTAAAATTTAATAAGTCTTTTATTATTTAGAAAAAGAAAAAACCTGTTTTCATATCTCAGTAAAAGATCTTTACTTTCAAGGTCAAAATAGTGTAAAACATTTTCAAGAACTCCTGGGAGAAGAATTGAGCTTAACTGTTGATTTCAAATGTTTAGCATTTAAAAGATATAGTTTTTTCCCTTTCCCACCTGTTCATTTAATTCTTGTTCCATCTCTTTATATTTACTTAATCTGGAAAAGTCAGGTAATGATTACTAGGTCAGTGCCTTGTAATATTTTTCAAGTGGCATCAGTCCTACCTTCCTTGAGACTGATCATTCAAAATCATGAATTTTATTTGTGCCTCTCACTGGCAGAGTAAGCAACTAACTCAACCACAAAGCAAACCTTTTGGCCATCTTTTCCTCAATTATTCAGCCTTTGTTTTTTTTTCCTTCTTTCATTTTTCAAAGTTCCTTCCTAATTTTTTCATTTTCCTCTTGTTTTTCTCTCTCTCATTTATACTATGTTCATTAATTTTAACATTTTTTTTTAATATATTTTTTCTTTTTACTCACACATCTTCCCTTTCTTTATTCACTACTTTCTTTCCTTCTCTTATTGATTCTTGTTTCTTTTTATTATCCATTCTCTCTTTCAATCCTTTGCCTACCATTTTCTTTATATCTACACATTCTTCTCACTTTTCTTTCATCTCAATAATTATCTTTCACTCTTTTTTTTCTCCTGTATTTCTTCACCCTTCCACCCAACAATCATTTCATCTTACCATTAATCTGTCTCTACATCGCTTGTTCATACATAATTCAGAATACTAGTGAATAATTAAGTAAATTCAATGTGTGATTCTAACCCCCAAACAGACTGTAAAAAGAAAGCAAAAATGGTAAATTTCTTCAGGCACCAACACTTTATTTCTTTAGTTCTGGCAAGGAATGGCTCTTTCTTCCAAAACTCATTTTGTTTCTAGGCATGACCCAAGATCTTTTCAAAATATATTTTAGAAGCTATGTAGAGATGGTATTTTCAAATTGCTTCTTATTTAAATAATAAACAAACTTAGTATGACTTAAGCAGACTCACAAAAATAAAAACAAGTTCTTCACATATGACATGCTCTTAGTATTTATGACAATCATTTGTTCCAAGATTTGTTCTGAAAATTGAACTCTTCCTTTGTGTTCTTGATATTGTCATACAAATGTATTTATTTGTCTGAATAAAATTGGGGATGTTAATGACAGATAAAAATTGATATTATTTTTTATTTGTATGTGCAATGCATTAGTGTAATCAATTTATTCATGCCTCATATAAAGACTATATACTTCTTGGAATACAGAATTCTGTAATATTTTTCACTATTTATATATTGGACAGCTGAGTTTAAATTCCAGTCAGGATTGTTACAATCACTTACATAAAAATACCCTTGAATCAATCACCCCCAGCTATAAATTAAATAGTAGGACTTGTATCTGGGGAAAAAGACATTATTCTCAAAAAATTGTCAATAGGCACTCACAAAAAAAGAATTCAAAGTATGTTTTGGCCTTAAATAACCCACAAAGGGTTGATAAGCCATAAAAAAAACCCAAATCAATCAATAACTGTTTATATTTTTTACACGGTGAGAAGAAATTTGGACAGATCAAGGTATTAAGTGTTGGATAGATGCAACTGATTCTTGAATAATTACTCCTAATTTGGCAACAAGATTTTTTTGGAAAAAGAAATGTTTAAACAGAATTGCTTATTCCAGAATTAAATTCTGATTGTAAACTTGTAAAATCTTAACTAAACTTTGACTGCGTTTTAATGATGTACTGTATCATAATTTCTTGTGAATTATATTTCTTATAATACACATCACAAATATTCCCTTGATATTTTTGTTTCTAATTACATGTTTATTGTCACATTTCTCAACATTTCAATTGATTTAATAAAATAATTAGTAAATATGCAAAGATGAAGTAATCTATCTGTTTAAGAATCAGTTTATGGGTTATAATAAGAAAGTAATTCTTGCAGCACCAATAACTGTAACAGGGTTATAGATTTCTAGCAGAAGATATTAAATATGAGGATTTAGATCAAAACTCCCCATTTAATACTACACCAAATCCATTTGCAAAAAGACAAAATGCATATTATATTTGAGCAATTAGAGACCCCTGCAACTCTTCCAAAAACTTTTATAAGTTTAAATTAAGTTGTTGCACAGGGACAGTTTTGTACAGATTGATTCATAAATGTTCTAATAACTTACCAAAAGGTTTGAAAATCTTCATCCAGTAATTGTTGAAAATAATTAAAACCTATATTAAATAATCTTTTGGAAGAATGAGTTTCAGAGAGTTAATTTGATTACAACAGGTGTTCTAAAGCTATTTCAAATCAGTATTGCAATAATTTAGTTTGACTTTTCTTTCTTGCTTCTGTGACATAGCTCACTTTATACAACTAAGAATAAAGAATGCTATTATTAGTTTTGACTTGGTTGGGTACATCTCTGTTGTCAGATCAGACCTACAAGTCAGTCAGGTGTAGAAATACATATGTAATGGCACAAACTAGAAGATAAGGGCAAAAAATTCAAATTCATTCATGGCAACATTTTTTTTTTTAGTTTCTTTTTCTATTTTTTAAAGAAAGACAACTTTTTATCTTAAAAAAAAATCAAGTCAAAATAATACAACCAAAGAAAGAAAAACCTTTAAAAAGTTAAGAAAGCAATAAAAAACTGACTGAAAAACAAAAACAAAAACACATTTGGGTCCTCTAAGGAATTGCAGAAGAATATATAAAAACTTGAAAACAAGAACAATAATATTGCAGAACACAACTAAAACTGACTATGAAGCAAGCAAACATTATGTAGCTGGGCAAAATGTGTGGGTAGGGCAGGGTATTTTAAGGGTCAATTCTCTCATGCACTACATGGAGAGACAAAGGATATAGGGAATCAGCTATAATTAATATCAATTCAAAGAGGAAATCTAATTGGGCATTGGGAAAGGATTTTTTGCCAATTACTAAAAAGCATTCTAATCTAAGGTGAATATAAACAAAAAAATTTAATGTAGGTAGCAGCAATAGAAAGATTAACTGCAACAAATTGTTTTTTTTAATTATATTTAAGATTTTGAAGAAAAAAAAAGGACAAAGGGAAGAAAGAAAATAGAAAGAGGAGAAAGATGAAGATTGAATGAGAAAGAAAAGAGAAGATGAAAAGAAAATTAGGAAAGAAAAGAGGACAGATTAAGTAAATGATGAGAGATTGCAAAGTGAGAAGGAAAAAGGAGGGAAGAAATGTTGATAGAAATGAAATAGAAAAAAGATGTTAACGAGAGTGTGAAGACATAGAATGGAAAGGAAAGAAAAGGAATACAGCCTGAGAGAGAGAGAAGGAATACAGTGTGTGAGATAGAGAGAAGGAATACTGTGTGAGAGAGAGAGAAGAGATCATGAGAAAGAGAGAGAGAGCTGGAATTTGGCATGAAAGAGAGAGAGTGAGAAAAGGAATACAGTGTGAGAGAAAGAAGGAATACAGTGCGTGAGAGAGAGAAGAGAGACAGCATAAGAGAGAGAGAAAAGAGACAGTGTGAGAAAGAGACAGAGAGAAGGGAGATAGAGAGAGAGAGAAGAAAGAGTGTGAGAGGGAAGGGAAAGAGTGAGAGAGAAGGTAGACAGCATATGAGAGAGAGAGAGAGAGAGAGAAGGCAGACAGCATGAGAGAGAGAGAGAGGAGGAGGAAGACAGCATGAGATAGAGAGAGAGGAAAAAGACAACATGAGAGAGAGACAGGCACAGTGGTCTAGAACTAGAGATCTTGATCATGGAGTGCTTCATTGCATGTTGTGTACTTAAGTGGATCAAAGTATTTTCCAGCAGGCAGAAAATAAACAACCTTAAGGATAAAAATTAGGGACATACAGAGAAAAGGGAAATATATAGGAAATGAAAGAAAATGGAAAGAAAAAAAATAAAGGGAAAATGAAGAAAAAAAAGAAGTAAAAATGTCTACAAATTAAGTATTTTCAAAAAGCTCAGTTCTCAGCTGTATGATTAGATCATTTTTATCATTTCATCCTTTTTATTTTGTAAGTGAAAACAAATGATTATGTATCAATAAGAAATTTATTTGAAAAAAAGGGAATTTTATTTAATTCTAGTCATGTATATACAACATTTTACAATCAAATGTATATGTTGATATATTTATTAGAAAATGATGTAGAAAAGAAAACTAATAAATAAATATGTCATAACATATTTATTCAATTAATTTTTTGTTTGCTTTGTTTTGTAAAAGTAATTTTTAAAATTCAACTGACAATATTTGTATAATTTTTTTATTGTATTTTTCTAATTTTCAAATAGGTTGTTGTACATCTAAAGCAAAATTGTAGATGAAGTGCCAAAAATTCAATTTTTTGTTTTGTTTGAATGTTTCAGTCATTAGCAAATGTAACATTCCCCAAAAATAATGCCAGGATGAAACCAATAAAATCTCATCTACCAAAATCACAGCATTAAGTTCTTAGTAACAAAGGAAATGGCCAGTACTTTATCAAAAAAAAAATAATGAACTTTGGACAACTTATCTACAATTTTACTTTAGATATACAACAACCTATTTGAAAATTAGACAAAAGTTGTGGGTTAAATTTAACAAAACTTCTTAAATTAATTATTGTTGCTGCCTGTATATACTTTCTAAATATATATATGTGTTGATTTTAAAGAATTTATAAATTTAAAACATTTTTTATATATATATATATATATATATATATATATATATATATATATATATATAGTTCTGCTTTTAAATTATTAGATTTTACTTTTTAAAAGTTTTCTTAGAAATTATGAAGAATGTGCATGTGTGTGTTTTCAAAATTTGGCAAAAATCACATGTTTTATCTGCTGGAAAAAATCAGAAAATAATCGTAGGGATGTTTATATGGACAACATAATCTTTAAAGTTTTTTGTCGAGTATAAAAAAAAAATAATTAACAGAATAATTTATAAATAATTTCTCAAAGCAGTTAAATAAAAAATAAACAAATCTTTTCTTGAATGATATCTTACATTTATCAATCCACATTTATTCTAAAATTTATCATTCCACATTTAAAATGAATAATAAAAGAAAAAGAAACAATTAACATCAATATTTTCCTTATTTAATTGTTAAAACTTATAATTTTGACAATGTTATCTTCTTTCAAATTTTTCAAATTAATTACATAATTCAAATTAGGAAGAAACATTCACTATTAATTATTTTAATTTACTTTTTAAAGAATCTGTGAATTTAAAATATTCAATATCATTTTCATAAGGGAAATATTATTTTTAACTTTAATATACTACTTGTGTATTTTTTGTTAATTTTGATAAGTGTATAGAAATTAAAGACTATGTATGTGCAGTGTCGCATAATACATTACAGGCATTTGTTTATGTGTGTCTTGTGTCTACATACTAATATCAACTCCTTTCAAAACATGGAAAGGTCATTGCTAAACTACAGGATGATGATGATGATAATGATGGTGGTGGTGGTAATGGTAATAATAATAATAATAAGCAAATCTGCTATACTAAGATAGTTTCATGTAGCAAGGGGGCACTCCAGTACTAAGTCTCATTATGGAACAAAGAAAAGGCATACCTTTGATGTCTTGGTCTCCTCGCATAATTTCTGAATAATCTCTTGGATCAGGAACTGCAACAGAATATGACAGGCAATTCTTAGGTGGGACTTTGGCGCAATATTTTTCAGTATTTTCTTTAAGGAAGAAGCTTCCAATTATCTTAACAATTTTGAAGAAATCTTTTGAATAACTTATTTAGCATTCATTTTTTTTCTGTCAAATTTAAAAAATCATTTTATGAACCAGTTCGATTTTTACTCTTTAAAATTGAGGCACACTTTTTAATATAGAGGAGATGAATTGTAGTTCCATAAACAAGAGATAAGCTAAAAAAAAAAAAAAAAAAAAAAAAATTAAATTCTGACTTTTTCTACAGATATAGAATTTTTTTTTAACAAAAATTAAATGAATTAGGTTTGATGCTGTTAGAGTGCTAATGAAAAAAAAGATAATAACTTTTGTTAGGCCAAGTTATGCCACTCTTTATTGCCAGAAGTCTCTCTCTCTCTCTCTGTCTCCCTATGGTCAAATGTATATAATATATGTATATATGTTTATGTGTATATAATAAAAGAGATATTAAAATACATATTAATTGAAAGAAAATAGAAGAGTAGATATCTGTGCTAATATGTTAAGGAAAGAGAAAATAAAACTAGTTGACAAGTAGGATAATTGTGCTTAGTATTTGAGCTTAGATAAAAGTTAGGGCTTTCAATATCTTCCAACAATATAATCTTTCTATTCACTGTACCTTTTCACTTTGCCTTTTTTCACCTTAATTATTAAGTTATTAAATAACTTTGAGAGAAAAAGAGAGCATATATTATCTGTGTGTCTGCAAAAAGGTAACTTGGATATGAATGTAATTAATGTTGGGATCTTTGAAACAAGGAATTATCATTGCTAAATGCCATTTCATCCAAATGTATACTCATTTTGGTTATTATACTCATAACCTATTGGCCATTACATCCTCTGGGCTTATGGTGTTTGTTAAACAAGATTAGCACACAAGTCAGAATAGAAAGGCCTATAATAATAGATATGAATGTATTTATAAAAAAATATATGACTATAAATAAAATTCTAAAATTTCCTCCCAAAACCTCATAAGTTATAGCAAACTTTAATGCATCGACTGGAATGATTTTAAACCATTTAAGAGAAATTGGTCTGCAAAAAGGGTTAATAAATAGGTTACATTTAAACTGAATAAAGAACAAATACTCAAACAGTAATCCTGCATTTATCACAGAAAATTGTTTTCTTTTTGTATAATATCACAAATGAAAAATAGGTCTTCTCTATTACTTTTGTCTGATTTAAAATAACTGAAGATTTTTGAAATAGCTGGATGTGGAGGAGAAACTGCAACATTAACTAAAATTAACTAAATGTTTTTTATGTCATGTCTTCATTCAAAACATCCAAACAGTTTATACACATAAGATGTAGAATACCTTAAAATATTTTATTCAAAATTTAAACAACACTCAATTTGGTGAATAGGACTGGTGACTTTTGTTGCATGGAGCTGTCCTCATGAAAAAATGAAGTTAATGAAATTGAATCAGTTCAAGATGAAGATTTTATTGCACCTTGCTTATTCATCCAAGTACTCTCCTATGAATTACAGTTATTTTCAACCATCAAGACCACTTCTTTATAAGCAAAGAATTTATACAATCAGGTTCAAAAAAAAAAAAAAAAACTGTAATAAATTAGTAATACAAATAAATAATTATTTGGAAAGGTAATAGTGTACTGACAAAGTGGAATGTTGATGTTCAAAAGGAACATTCTGACTGAATAAATTTTACTATGAATTTTTGTTGAAATTAGATGTTCTTTTATATAACAACAATAATTTTTTGCTCAAAATACAACTGACCAGGGTAATTCCACAACAATGCATCCTTGTCAAGAAAATACAGAGTAATAATAATAATAATTTACGAGAAATACCTGTGAAAATTTCAATTTTTCCAATGAATCTTTATTCTTAAGTTAACAATTGAATAAGTTCACAACATTAAAATATCTGTAGAAATTTCCTTATCACATTGTTAAATATTTGTAATAAATTGTAATAACAGTCATAAATATAAAAGCTGGTATTTATTTTAAGAAGTGGGTATAAATAGATTTGAAATTGACAACTTTTTCCATTTGACTATATTATTCAGAGAGTAATTTGTAATTATATATATATATATATATATATATATATATATATATATATAGTTTTAAAAACTAGGAAACCATTGATTTTAATATTAAAAGTCTCTAGAGCCCTTTCAGCCAACATCTCATCAGGAGACAATCGTTGGATTAGCTTAAATGAATAATAGCGATATTGAAGAGCAAAAAAGGGGGAAACACACTAAAATAACGAACAAGTATATATACTTGTAACGAGGGAAGGGTTATCGATGTAAATAAATAGCGAGGACAGTTAAAATAAAATATCCCCAACAGATTCAGAGACCTTATAAATTCTTTCTGCCGCAGAGAGAAGGTTTTCTAAATCCTATACAGACCGATTCCAAAATCTTCAAATGATTATTGAATCGGCTGTATGAATAATTCTAAACCACTCTTTTTTATACAACTTGGCACAAGCTATATTCTCAACTAAATGTTGAGCAATAGCCGATTCCATATTCATGGGGGGAAGATAGCATATTCTATCTATCTTACCAAGTCGTATTTTGGAAGGAACGTGATATATATCACACACGCACAAACATAGATAATAAATATACATTTATTTCTCACTATTTGAGTTGAACCAAACAATGAGAAACAAATGTATATTTATCATTAGAATAAATTTTAGCTCTGTCTCTGTTACTTTACATTGAGCACCGTTTTATTATCACCAGCACTCACTGTGTAATATTATATATATAAATATGTATAATTAATATAGAAAAGTTTTTTCACTTAACTCCCATTTACTTTGGAGTTTAGTGGGTATATAGGTATAACCACTTGTTGAAACAGAGTTAATTAGAACAGATTAACTGTTTTCTGATGAGTGATTATAACTATATAGCCACAAAACTCCGAAGTAAACATGAGTTAAGTTAAAAAAACTTTTCTATTAATGTTCTATCTCTATTGAGCACTCTAGCACAAAGCCTGCTTGCTTACTTAAATACCTACTCATCAGCAAACCACTGAATATATATATATATATATATATATATATATATATATATATAATGGATGCACGGTGATGTAATGGATACGAGTTTAGATTGAGGAATTGGAGAGCTGAGTTTCAATTCTAGTCATGTTCGTTATATTCACTTAAAGGCAAATACCATTGAGAAAGGTATGAATCCATGTCTTCTACCCTCAGCTATTGGTAAATAACAGGATAGACTGGACCCAATAGCTTCAGTCTAGAAGGACATTTCTGAATGTAAAGGGTTCCTTTGAAACTTTGTGGAACCCTATATGCACCAGTTCTCTGTATTTGGTTCTTCCAAAATATGTGATTGGTTCTGCACAAGCCTTCACCACTATAATCAAATCATATGTATAGATAGTCTAGCTATTCAGTTCTACGAATTGAGCTGCTGTATCCACATATGTTTAAAACAACAAGAGAGTCCAGTATATATATTTAAAAATAGAATTACATATTAATATATGGATATGTACTCATATACATATATGTATCTATCTTTAATACAGATATGTGTGTATAGAACTATTTGCATACTTTTATAAATATCTATGAGGAAGTAGTGAAAAGTTCTCAGCCTGATCAACTTCCCAAAATCAGTCTTTTGATCTTTGCTCACAGCAATATTGACTTGGGAAAATAGTTTGTGCTATGAACTATTCATCACCCTTGTGTGTGTGTGTGTGTAAATATATATATTTATTAGTTTTAAATAAAACATTCACAAACATATATAAACATTATAACACTAGTATATACTTGTGGTGTGTAGTTGGCTACTATTGGTTGTAAGGCTCCTCAAGTCTTTTTTGGTGGATACCATGTTTATAAGATTCAACAAGGAGTCAAAATAAGTCATCATAATTTGTGTATTTGTTGAATAAATCAGTGGAGTATATATTACCATATTCATTTTATTTATATAGACTTTTGCAGAGACACAAACCCATAAATGCATTCACATATACAGTGACAGACAAAAAATATGGTGATATGTTCACTTTATGGCAATGTGCCTGCATTCAATACACACACACACACAGACAAACACATACTGCATGTTTTTTTTTAATATTTATAATTGTACATATGTCCAAAAATAAATTATATAAGAGTGACAGAGACAGACAAAGAAGGATACATAAATTTATCCCTATACTCAACTCCACAATGCCCTATTGAATAAATTATACTTTTAAAAATTGATGTATGTATCAACCAAAAGAATAATGATAAAAAACAACAAAGATGGGAATATTAACACAAACACATTATGGAATAATTGACTTATTTTGTAATTTCAGACAATGTTCATTTGAACCAGTTTTGTCTTCCTTACAAATGAAGGAACTTTGCCCAAGAAACACCTATTTTCCTTGAGATATTTGTTTTTTATCTCATTTTTCAAATTGTATCTCAATTAGAAGAAAAAAAGCAATCTCTTTCAATCTAGTAGAAGCATTTAATTTGTATTTTTTTTTAAATTACATTTTGTTCTAAAGAATGATTTTGTCTATCCATAAATTTTTTTCTCACATACAGATAATTCATAATATATTTATATCTTTTAATCTGTACTTAACAGATAAGAAAATAAGAAAAGATAAGAGAAATAAAGAAAAAAGCCACTGACAAAATGAAGAAAAATACCCATACACATAAGTACATCCATAAATGAAAAAGCAGAAATATTCACATCAGAAAAATACTTGATTAAGATTTATACCTTATAAGGAAAACTCAAAGGAAAATCAACAGAAACAAGGTAAATGTAACTTTGCTTACAACACATTGATCCTCCACTCATTTTTTTAATTAAGACTATTATTGGTTTTAAAATTTTAAAGGTTTAAAAATAGTGAGAAAATGAATTCCAGTGGATTAATTTAACTCAAGAAAAATTAATCATGAAATTTTTTTAAAAATTGTAAAGTAAATATCAGAAAAGGCCATCAAATTGAAATTTGAAGGGGTGAAAATTCTCTCTAAATTTCTTTATATAACTGATAGCTGCTTCCCTGTTGGATAAATAATAAGTTGTAAAAACTGATGACAGTAATAGTCATCCGTGGGCTAATATAATGTGATTATCCCAAGTTGTCTGTCAGGAGATTTCTCTTAATGTCATTAGGTTGCATTGTATAAAGTAGTATAAAAGGAAAAAACACAAACCCTCATTTTAATTGAAACACACCCTATCTTCTACTTTTCCTCTCTTTGTATTTATCCTTTCTCTCCCCACATGACTGTCTATCTATGTGTCTATCAATATGTGTATCTTTCACATATTGTATATGGGCCTGGGTCTCTCATGTATACAACATGAGAGACCCAGGTCACTTTCCAAAGGCTCATGAAAAACTTGGAGTAATTTCACCAACAGTTTTCACTGCAAATGTACAGGAATTACATTGATATCCTTGAACGTATTCAGTCTACTGATATAGAGACTTTGGTATTTTATCTTTGGTTATGATGTTGTGGTCAATGATCATGGGGTCAGGATGAAGAACAACAGGATTCCTAAGCATTTTCTATGGTGAGTTGGTTGAGAAAAAAAGACCATAACACAAACTGCATTTTAGGTATAAAGATTACATCAAGAACACACAGGTAAGGGCCAACATCTTTCAAGATTACAGGGAAAACCTAGCTTGATATCATTCGTTTTGGTGATAAGCAGTGCACAATGTCAAGAAGACTGAACAGAATAGTGTTGAGCATGAAAAATATAAGAAAGATGTTAATTTCCCTGAAAATGTTGGCACAGAATTTAATTTAATGTGTAATGAATGTGGTGATGTCTATCTACGTAGGGCAAGCTTAAAAATTCCATCAAAACACCAGAGAGAGAGAGAGAGAGAGAGAGAGAGAGAGAGAGAGAGAGAAGTTCTTCATTACACATCATTTCTTCTTGTACAGTGTGTAAAAAAGAATGGTCCTTAGTTGGGGAGCAAAATATTATATGAAAGTTCACAAAAATATTACTGTAACCCACTCCTGCAAAAGAGGCCCAAAACGGCCTCATCTGCATAAGAGACTATAAAGCCTTAGCAGAACTAAAAAGCAACATCTGTGCTGCCCATATTTAAGGATAAATTAAGCAATGACATTACTCAAAATCGAGTTGAGGCCATCATCTATTTATCTACAAATATATAGAAACACATTTCCATATAGAGATTATCTATTCAAAGCATGAAATAAAATATTTAATGTGTTTACACATTTATTTACTAATTCACACACATACATTCATGCATAAAAGTGAGGAAAAATACATGTTATCTCTTGTTCATGTGCATATGTATACACAAACCCTCACAGATAATATACAGTTGTAAGCAAGTCTTTAGTTTTACTTTTGTATATTAATATTTACACAGGTTCATTTACTTACACATGTGTACATGTGTGTGTCCACCTTACACATCTCCACAGTCAGATACTTGGGACAAGCAACATATACATTTTAATGTATGCACACATACTGAGTAGTATTTCCAGATATCTACTCACACATGCATACATCCTTAAAGACATAAAACACAACCCATTCTCACATACACCCTTAGAGATGTACATACAAATGTACATAGACACATGAAAGTTATACTGCTTTCAAGAAATAACTACTTGACATTGTGAAATGAAGAAGAAGAATTTTTGTGAATTGATTAAGAAAATGAATGAAAGAATTTATTGGGAATCTCTTAATTTAAAAAATAAAACGTGGCAAATTGAGATAAAGAGAATTTAAAATGATTCATTGCATAGCTGAAAATTGTAAAAGTTATAAGTTATCAATGGCTGCAAATACTAAAACTAATAGAGATATTACTTTCTCGCCTAAAATACAACAGGACTGATAATAAAAAGAGAGTGAAAATCATAATTAAAATGCAATAATAAGAGTAATGATAATCATAACAAGAATATTAGAAAAGTATCTAACATATGTATTTTCTACCAATGTCAAAGGTTACTGTTCAAGCCCAAGCAGAAATTAAAATTTAGAATGCTAATTTTCTTTAGAAAGACATTTTCTTGTCATAACACAATCTTCCTACCCTTATTTTATATTAAGCTAAATTTAGTAACTATTAATCAAAATAGAGCTACCACTGCTACTACAAACAATAAAGATAAAACTAAGCACAATAATATTCTGTTTGCAATATTCATTTATATTTATATCCTTATGTTAGCAATTATGACATTAGATTGGTTTAAGTGCCAGTCACTTTCACAATCCATATATATAAAATGTAATATATATAATTTTTTTTAATTATTTCACCACAGGCAAAGTGACAATGCCATTAAGATACAAGGGGTTACTGGAAGTGAAAGAGAATGAGAAAAACTTTAAGAGAAGGAGCTGGAAACACAATCCTAAACAGGAAAGAAGGGATAAACCACTACTCCTGTTCAAAAGATGGGGAAGGAGTGTGAACCAGGTGATAGATGAACCTACATACTCCTGTTGAAAAAAAAAACTGTAAAAAAATGAGTAAGGGATTAAATAAAATGTGTGTAAGTGTGTGTAACAATTGCTGATTCATACATAAATGTTCCAATCATTTTTCACAGGTATGATTTTGGTATTAATAATAAAGAAGATATGCCAAATAACAGAAATAGTCTACAGACAGACATGTTAAAATAAGGAAAAAGAGAAAGGGAAAGGAGAAAAGAAAAAGAGAAAGGGAAAGGAGAAAAGAGAAAGGGAAAGGAGAAAAGAAAAAGAGAAAGGAAAAAGAAAAAAAGAAAAAGAACAGAAAATAATAAAGGAAAATAATAAAAATAAAGACCCTTCCCACCTCCCTCTTAAAATTTAGGAAAAAAAATTCTTTTTATATTTGTGATTTGGAGTGCTTAATCAATAGTAAATTGAAAAAACATTTTAAAATAAAAAAAACTACTTGGAAAGATGCATTTCTGTTGAAACACTGAACTTAAAGTGATCACTGTTTCTATAATTTAGGAAATTATAATAAAATATATTAAAAGAAAAATCATAAAGAAATGAGTATTTTGCTATTCATTGACTTTTTAAAAAATTGGGTGGGTTTATTTATTTAATAATAACAATAATATTAGATCTTTATGATCAAAAGCAACAACAATAAGAATAATATTTTTACTAATATTAATTATTATAATATCAACAATGCTGATAAAATGGTTGACTCCTATCAAGTAACGTTTTATTGTCACTTCCTTGAAAGTAAACATAATCATAGTAAAGTGGTTTTCCCCAAATGTTTATTCTTTTCAGTTAACCATTGTGACATGCCATTAATGAGACCATTGTCAAGATGTTTGACAATGGGACAAAATGTAAAGATTAGACTCCTGTCTTTGTCAAGAGCATTTGGATAAAAGAGAATTTTAGCACAGACTCAGCCAGAATATACTTTTCAATTTATCATTTCCATGCTGTCAACACACCATTTTGTATCTTTTATTATACTAACAACAATTGTAATAGTGAAAATAAAAACAATAATTGCAGTAATGATAACAATAATAATATTAGTAAGACAAATTATTATTATTATTAAATTCATATCTTAAGGCAATAATGATAAGTCCATTAGATAAGTGTTACTGTCAACAATATATTTAAAAAAAACTGTAAAGAAAGAGAATGTGTTTCCAGTTAAGTGATGTTTACTACATAAATAAAATTTACTTTCAAATTCATTTGTTTCAACAGTAAATATGCAATTTGTTAAAGGATTTGTGATAAAAATAATAGAAAGAATTGACAAATCTGAAACTTTTGTATTGTTACTGATACTAGGCATGTAGAGTTGTTCTTGATATTCAAAATAGTTGGACTGTTTCTGAACAGATTTCATAGATAAATAGATAGATATGAACTACCTTTATGTACAACATGTACAGGTAGGAAGGGAGAGACAGACTAGGGTAGGGTGGGAGAAAGAGAGAGATAAACTTGGGTAGAGTGAGAGAGAGAGACAGACTGGGGCAGGGAGGGAGAGATATAGACTGGGACAGGGAGAGAGAGAAAGAGAGAGAGAGACTGAGGCAGATAAATAGATAGATAGCAACAGACTGGGCAGATTAGTAGATAAATAGTAATAGATGAGGAAATATTTGAGCAGACCACACTTTAATAACTAACATCAGTCAGTTATGTATCATGCATCATACCCACGTAGGCGATCATGTTTTTGATACATGACTGACGAGGCAGATTTTTTTCCTGCAGTAGGTTGCCATTTCTTTCTGCGGTAGACTAGTTGCCATCCAAGGCTATTGAACCCAGTCTGTCCTGCTATTTACCCATAGCTGGGGGGAGAAGAAGGGGATTCATACCTTTCACAAAGATATTAGCATATAAGTGAATGTAATGGATTTGACTGGATCAAGCAATAAAAGCAGTCACACACATGTATTTAAAGTAATACATGCACACAGAAAACTATTTTTTCTGCTTATGGTTCTTTGATAAATCTTTTATTTTTTATCACAACATTTTGGATAAGAATTAGGGCTAAATTTTCAATTGGTTGAACAAACTGTTTGAAATTAGAAATAATTAGAATGAATGTATAACCCACACCTCAAGAATCCATCTTTCATTGTATGTCACCTTAACCACCGTGGTCATGGAGGCATTAATGATTAAGTAGAAAATACATCTGTAGTCATTTTGTCATTTTCCTCTCTCCAATTTTACATGCCATCATTGTTTTATAAAGTTAGTTTGCAAATTTATATAAAATCATGAAGCATTTTCACTATTTATTTTATTACTAGAAAATGGTGGGTGGGGGAACAATGCAAGCATGTACTATCTTTGAACATTTATAATCTGACCATTTCAGGAACTGAAACAAGATGTGTTTGGATTTATGCAATTTCCTTTGTGACTTTGCTGTCCTTAATGATGAGGTATAGAAATAGCAATAAGGCAAGACATTTCTATTTTTTTCTTCTGCAATAAATATATTTCATGTTATTATCTTTAACAGTAAAACATGGAAATTTGATTTACTTTGGAGCTCAGGATTAAAGAGAAAAACATGCAAAGTTATGTCAGTAAACTAAATGCTGACTACAGAGCTTGAAATGTCCCTCTTTAACAGCAAGTGTTGTTTCTACCCCACCCTTACCCCACCCCACCACCATTACCAGTCAAGCTTGTCAGTCAGGACTGATGTTACTTGCAAACTAGGAGATAAAATAGGATAGAAGATGGCTTGCCTTGTAGAAATAGTTATGCATTTTTATATGAATGGACAATATAGTTAAATTAATTGTCAGTAAAACACTGGAGAATAAGAGAGTTAAAGGAATCAGCATACACACGCTATGTTTAAATCATATGATAGTAATATTGATAATATATACAAACCACAAATCAGGTTTAAGCAGGAGTATGTATATACTCATTAAAAAAATAAACAAGGTTCAGTTTTTAAAAAGTAAGACAGACATCTGATGAAGACCTCCATTTATATCATCTGAAACATCATTCATAAAAAAGGCAATGAAAAAATTAAAAAAAAAAACATTAATCCAAACAATATAATTGTAATAATTTCTCAGTGGTACCTTAAATTGGTGTTTAAACCCAAGTAAAAGCCAAGACTTGAAATACTGATTTTAAAGACAGGCTGGCCTTTTCATTCTTTGAAGATTAGTGTAACAATCTTCTTAATCTTTTGAGCTAGGCATAATAAATATCAGGAAAAATTTACAGCATCAATGGACCAATTTATTAATCAGAAGAATTTTTTTTTTTTTTTTTTTTTTAAGCATTAATAAAATCCATCAGTAAGTTCAGAAGCTGGAGAAATTATTCATTCCTTTTGAGTGGATTAAAACCACACCTGCATACTGGAACAGCCACAATGAAGCCAATAAATATAT